ATACATACATACATACATACATACCGACTAACCGACACACAAAGTTTTTGCCTTATAGAATATGAGCATTCTCGAATTGGAAGGAATGCTCGCTAACCTTCTGGAATATAGTCGAGCGGTCCGGCGTAGAATGGCCACGGAAAGTTAAAAATATGAAACAGTAGAAACACAGTGACACCAAACATTATTTGTTTTCTTTTTTCACTGAAATTTATGAAACATTGGTGAGTACAGGGCTTCGCTCAGCAGGTAACAGAAACCAAAAAGAAATAAATGATGTTCTATAACCGCAGCTCACATTTGTCCTATGCGAGTATATCCTATGAGAAAACTATTTCCTGAAGATACCAGGCAAGATGCTGTTTGGAAGATTCCATTGTAAAGGACTGCGTCGGAGTCCTTCCAATTGTACATCACGACCGACCAAGGCGTTGAAATCCTGGAACAATATTACGACCTCTTCAGCCATCTCTTTAATTGAGCATTTGTGAGAGTTTAGACGTTTCTCGAGAGTTCGCGTCACAGCGCAAAGAGAGTGAAATAATAAACAAAGGCACTTGAGGGCAGGGTACAGCAACGTTGTGCGAAACCCATCGGGGGGGTCATACTTGACCCTGGGAAGGGAGGGGGAGGTCGTTAACGCACCGTCGGTGAGCATGATGGAGCGGAAGGGGTTACAAAATATTAAAACAAACGAGTGAGTGCCTTCACAATGGCACAGAAGGAGCCGAGCTTCCGAGTGGTTGAATGTCGTCTAAGGGTGACCCATCTGAGATACCTTCGAAACAGCGGATTTTCAGGTGAAATTTGGAGCTCGTTGGGAAGAGAAAATATTGGGCGTTCTGATGGCGTTTTTAGTTTTGCAAAAGATTGCGTTTGAAAGAAGTTATTCTCGTCTGAAGCATAAAAACCCGCTCGCGATTCACGACTAACGCGTCTGTGACTCATCCGAAATATTTCAGCAACGGAAGATTCAGATTGCGAGCAGGTAGAAAGCGCAATAGTGAAGACATCTTCTCTAACATGCCGCCTTCCGTTTCTCACTATCAGAAGCCTCGCACCTGAAAAAGTTATCACCGTGAATGCCCTGCCATTTCCACCCGACCAACAGATCTAATTTGCCATGGAATCATTACGCGGCTGCAAGCGCTCGCAAGTCGTCGAGTACCTAATCCTTCTTGTCAAAGCGAACAATTAGGGCCAGGATGGGGGGGAGGGGTGTACCAGGGTCCTATTTCTCCGGGAGGTGGTCGCACTAACACTGCCATTTCACACATCACGATGCTGTACCCTGCTTGAAGGTCTGTTGAAAACCCGTATCAGTGAGAGACAGGGCTCCACAGATAAACCGCAAAAGGCTCATAATGCAGCTTACTGCAAAAAATATCATGACTGGTCAATGCGATCAGGTCTACTCGGAATACTTTCATTGGCAGATGTAGATGGGTCCTCTTTATATCAAAGTTGTGATGACCTTTAGTTACTTCGGGATGGGACCTATACCGCGATGGCACACATGTTTCTTACGTTTATGTCGAATCTGTTTCCAGAAGCTGCCAAATTTTCTTTTTGTGGAGCGGTGAGGAATGAGAGCAGTGTAAGCCTATTGCCAATGGCTTTTTCGGGTATGGCCTGAAAACCAAGCATAGGGTTATCGGATACTCTTATTTCCAGCACCATCCTCATTCGACGCCATAAACTTTGTGTGGCTTGCACTTCGGCCATATATACTCCCCGTCCTTCTTGTAAATTACAAACTGCCCAAACACAAAACATTCCAGGACTCTCTACAAGCTATGAGGGCGAGAGCTAATTCTTCAGAAATTTTAAGAAGGGTTTCGGCAGTGTTTCTGAAAAAAGCAAAAGGCAAGCCAAGATCCGAATCTGCGACCTCTTCCCATACTAGCGCGCTAGGTCTCACAAGTGATCTAACTTTAGGGATGATCTTGAGAGATAATGTTCAATGACAGCAACTGTGGCAACTAGAATGGTGTGAATGTCAACGATGTGAAGCTTCAAAGCTTATGTAAAAAGCTCAGAAGATACAAAAACCTCAAAAGCCCCACTAATATTTATAGATATTATAGACAAGTAATCAATAAGTATTGTTCCTGAATATCGTGAATGAATAACTTTGAAGAGTTTTCGGGACATCAGTGTAATTTGATTTTTTGATTAAATTTTGGAGATTCACATATTTCTCAAATATTCAGTTATCATGAGGGTGCACGACAACGCAGAGGGTAAAACCTTCCAAATCTTCGCTGAAATGTACTTGGCAGATTCAGAGAGCGTATTCAAGATCAGTAGTAGGAACTGGGCATCAACCGTGGGTCTCGTTCCAACGTAAGGAGCTGGCCTGAGTTTTTCTTAGTGTGCGGAAGAACTCAGTTTCATCCCTCCAACCTTTACGGTAAAAAACTGTCAGATTCCTCCATCATACATGTCTAAAGGGAGGTTCGAGCGTAAGGTGATGCTAAAAATTTGCAAGGAAACAGTGAGCAATAGTGCATGACAAGTCGACCTTTTTCATCATGAGCGTGAAGATTTGATTCTCAACCTGTTGATCAGCATAATGCCCAGATGACACGGTCAGCACCTCTCCTTCACGGTGTTATTGTGTTAATGTGCAATGAATGTAATGAAAAACTAACACTTCGATGTTTGTCGCGACCATACATGAGACCATCCACAAGTAAATGCAAATTACAGCTGGTATCACGTCAAATTTTGGGATCACCATAAAAGCATCGTTTTCTGAAATGTTTTTCATTACTTCCTCGCAGTCAGGTTTGTTGCTGAAATGCTTGAATCGCTTTCAACTGCCAATACGTTATCAATTACCATCTTTGTTCTTCTCTATAATACCAGCATACTCTTCCTTGAAAAACAGATTTATTATGAGGCAACAGACAATTGAAAGCAGCACCATGAAAAATGCAGGTAATGTGTACATGTTGAATATAATCCGTCCCAATCTGAACCCACGCTCCCCCACAGGAGTGAAGACTGCCTGAAAATACATAGATAGAACCTTCCTAGAAGAAAACATCTAGACACTCAGTTCAAGGTATACCAAGCTCGAAAATAGGTCGCTCCTATTACAAGCGGTAGGGCAGAATACCTAAATCAGGGAACTGCCCAAATCTGTATCCATAGACGACATCTCAATCTTCTCCACAAGCACCGATGTTTCATGCTACTTTTCGGATTTTCATAGTGTGGTTTTAATAAGTGTGGTTTTAACAGTGTGGCTTTAATCGTGCGTATACCTGCTAAATCTAAATCTATTTAGGAAAATGAAATATACTTGCATCAACTAAGCTCTATAAATACACGTCAAAGAGCCAAGTAGGGGAAAATGCGAATCAAGTCAATCTGCCTTCTTAGCTGTGAAACAGTAAACTTGCACAATTCCACAACATAATTTACAAACGGCAAGCATCACCGCCGCTGAGAGCATGATTTTAGCAGATGCAGGGACCACGTTAGCACCACTACAAGTGCAACCTGCGGGCACTGAGGGTGTATGCGTGACAATGGGAAGAACTTCTTGATTTTCTCTGCTATGCTTTCAGCCCATCCCTGAACACGACTTCTTTGCTGCTCTGTGGAGATGGCCGCACAATCGAAAGCACATAAGCAGCTTCTTTCCGCAGTGACTTGATGATATTAATTTCTCTGCTTTCCTTTAGTTGATATGAGGTAGAGGCACTGAATCTCTTCCAGTGGCACGAATGGCCATCGTCAGTCAATACCTCGCACAGCTATTCGTTTTCGAACTCTCGTAAATTTTCTGAGGGCCACACCCAGCACTTTCCCGTGATCCCCATTTTTCTGGGTAGGTTTTCGGCGGTACAGTTAATGACGGTTCCTAAATGCTGCTACAAGTAGAAGAGAAGTCAGCAAAGTGCGTTGAAACAATGATTAGTAGCGTCAACATAACCAATCCGATTACTACTCCTTCTGGTTAAAATGCGAATTTACTGAGCTGGTAACGATGAGGACGCTCTTTCAACCACGATTCGACAGCACTGAGGAAACCCTCTCAACACATGGCGCCCCGCATGTTTAGTCACTGGATGGAGGTCAAACAAAAATGATATGATGAAGATGAGCGAGAAGAACCATGAAACGCTCAGGAAAAACATTGATTCTAGGCACTAAAAGGATATGACACGAAGACACAGAGTAAGGAAAAAAGATAACGACGTAACAAGGCGAGAGTACAAAAATGTGGAGACTCTACCATCACACACGATGTTGGAAAATTATAAGGTTGAGCCGAAGGTACCGCGGCACTTGAATAGATTGTCTCAAAGAGAATCAAGAAGCTTCTGAACGCTGTGGTTCTACTGTAGCTACTGAACAGTAGTCTCGCAGGTTTCAGAATAGCTGCAGAAGTTTCATAGTGGCTCGGCGTAATTTCTTGAAGCTTGAATGTTTATGGGTCGTCCCAAATCCGTGCTAGTTTACGACCCATACTGCCTTGTGTGCTCCTGAAAGGCTACCCTGCTGGTGACGAGCAAGCAGACACCTGTACTCTTCCTACTGGTGGCAGCCTTACCTTTGTTCTATTAAGCATCCATTCTGAAAACTCGCTTAAAGAGTTGCAGGATTTTCGCTGAACCTCATGCGGATCAAAGCATACTCACGGCCCTCTCTTTGCGTTCTATTTTGAGTGATTTGTTTTTGTAAACAGATGAAGTTTTCTGCAAGCATGCTATTGCAGAATTTATTGGAAGCTAGTCACTTGACAGAGGAATTATTTCACACCTTCATGATAGAGCCTGGTGAAGAGAAACCTCATATTTCAGAGTTGAAAATCATGACATCCTCCCAGCATCTTATTGGAGTGACCCTTCGCTCCTGGGCACAGCCGCATAATTCCAGTGAACAGACAGATTGACACATTTGTATGCAAACGATTTGGGCATACGGCATACATGTGCAGATTTCGTACCTGTATAGCTGGTCCGAAGGAAAGTCCCAGCACGTAGCCAGCAGTGCCGAAAGAAACAGAACTGAGACGATCACGCGGCGTGGAGGCGGTAGCCGCGTAGGCTCTCAGTACTGACAATGTCCCTGAATTCAAGAGCTCTCGGAGTACCAAAGAACTAACAACTGTCCTTGCGAATCACCTGCGCCGAATCCTGTAAGTAGCCTTGCGAACAGCATGACCCACTTCTGGCCCGAGTGGAACAGTGGAAGTAAGCCAAATATGAATTGCCCTTAACAGAACTGAGAATGAAAATAATATGAAAGTGTTCCATGAGTTTCTCAGTTTTCTCATCACGACCTTCGGCGGCAAATAGAACAGTGCATTAGGTATCGCAATGTATGCTCACTGGCTCACCGACTCTATGCAGCTCTGAGCGCCACCGCCACAAAGTGATGTTTTCAGCTTGGTCGAAGCTCAGATGGGAATATCAAGGGTCCTGCTTTCTTCCAGGGGAACATCGTTGGTTGTATAGGAATGAAATGCCATGACACAATTAAGTGACATGAATGGGTAGTAGTAGACTTACTATCCAGTCGATCTGATCAGCTGTAGCATTGCTATGCTCAAAACAATGGAGTTTTGGTGAAGACACCCTGCTTGACATTACACGTGGCCCTTATTCCCCTGCGAGTGGGACTTTTCGCGAGATTTATGCGATTTCTTTGATTGCAGCATTTTTTTTCCGAGGGTGGTCGAGCGACAACCATAAACAGCGTTTAACAAAATACCGGTCGATCATGGAAATTGTGCGCCAAACACTTGATGTATAAAGCAAGGGTGACCTACAAGAGCACATTTTCTCTGTTAGGAACTTCTTCCTACTAGTTCTAGTCTACTGAATTTGTTAAGCCTCTACAAATGACTGGGAGACGTGCGATCGTTTACCTTCTGTGTACTGACCTTTTAGTATTGTATTAGAATTCAGTTGTCTGCGCTTCCTTTCTGATTCTTTGGCGGCTTGCTTATATGATTAATTACTTAAGTTTGAGAAACCAACGCCGCCACCGAGAGACATTATTTGGCCAGGTGGTGGAAGAACTGAACTAAGCCACTCATTTTTTTTACCGAGACTAACGTTCCAACCACCATCATTTCGGGCGGAAAAATGGTGTCCATCCTTACATGCAGCAGAATTCCCAGCCCAGTAACAGGTACGCCGAGCCATGAACAATCTAAGCTTATGCTGTTCTCCTTTTTTTTGCTTAACGAAGTAAACGATTTTTTGGTCGCCTATCGCGTTCTCACGCGGGAGGAAGTCTCACTACCGAGCCAAGAGCAGTGCAGGAAAGGGTTATTACGTAACGCGGAAGCAGTCCAAGGTTTTCGTATTGAGATTGCCTTGGAGCCATAATTAAAGCGTTCTTGCTTGACACTGGAGGAATGTGGAAAAGAACATCGAAAAATAAAATTGTCTTGCTTGTGCAACCTCAACTCAGTCCATATTTCTGGTGTCAATATTTGCAGCTATACGCAAGCCAATCACATGAGGAGTGCCAGCGTTATTTCTCCGAAATTCAATATTTGCTATAAATTGAAGAGACTTTTTACGCATCTCTTGGATGAAACATTCGTTTTGGAACAATCTGGTACGACCATATAAGATAGTACAGAAAATTTCTAAAGTCTGTAGTTAATGGGAAATTGGAGCCTGCTCAATTTCCACCTCAACACCGCTACTGTAACCTCATTTGCTTACTTGACTACGCGTCCCACCTGAGGTCCCACTTGTGGCCCACAGCCGCGGTCTTGTGATGATTTGGCCCCTTTCAATCACAAATAATTCTAACGGATTGCAAGAGAGTTCCAATCGAAAGGGATCTTAATGGAGAACCCCTTTCTTAGTGCCAATGAATTTTAAAAATTGGTGAAGATTGCAGGTGAAGCTCTGACTTTTAAAAGCAGTAACGTTTTAATTTCTCTCAATTGATTCTTTAATGATATCTTACCAACCAATAAGCATCATTGTCATTCCGACAACCACTGGAGCCTTGATTGACATTGTTTTCTGGTTCCAAAGTCCGAAGAGCGGATTCGCCTAAAAGCAGTATTTGTGATGATTCCGATATTGTAGCAACTGCATGAGTTCAACATTAAGAAAGTAGTTTCGCGCGGGAAACTGACCCTGAGTAGATTTCACAAATAAAGGGTAACAGAATACCACATAATACTCAAATCAAAAACCAGCAACAATGAAGACTCATATAATGTAAGCATAATTAACTCAAATCATTCGAATTCGAAGTGGACAGATTATGGTGCTTAGGGGCTTCTCAGCCCCCTAATCTTTGCGACGTTTCTAGAGGTTCCCTAACTTTGATCAGCTGTGTCACAGCACCTGAAGTATCGTTTCTTGTCATTTTTCGCGCCCAAA